TGCGAGCGAGGATTAAATTGTCATCTTATGTTCAGTGCTGGCAAAAGCTGAGTATGTGACAGAGATGGTGACAGTGGATTTAACGTCTAGGTGGCAGCTACTTTGAATATCCTTCGTACCACACATATCAAGCAAGTCAGCATATTAGTGATTGTGATTGGAATCAGTCTGAGCAGACAGCTGCCATTACGTTCCCATTCTTTCTGCATCTTGCATGCTGTCACACAGCATGTCTTGTGCAGCACTCCCTCCTACAAAACAATATTCCTTCCAAAAGTAGGTTTCAGTCAATTCACTCCATGTGTCAATGTGGATCTGTCTCCTCTTCTTGCTGAAGGACGTGATTCCACCTAGGGTTTAGAGACCATCTTTCCTAGGTGAAACTGGGTCCATATGTGGAATGGAGTGTGCCCAAGTAACGGCTGCCTTCAGCTGACTGCAGAGCTCTACCAGAAGAGCTCTGACAAGGACTCAGGAGATCACCTCCAAGCCAGGGCAGCACTGGAAGACATAACTTTGGCTCCTTGCAGCTGCTGTTCATAAATCAGTCTATTATCTGAAACCACCAACCATAGCAGTTCAAATTAATACGTCAGCCTGTAAATTAGAGCAGCCGAGGAGCCAGCACACATTTGCTTCTGCTGTCTCTCTTCCACGATGGCCATTTCTGGCAGAGGGGCAGAGTGGACAGCTGGAGGTGGTAGCTTCTAAAACTAATCTAGCGTGCACTGCCAGGGCTTGTCATCTGTGCACAGTGAGAACTCCAGCAAGAGTTGTTGCGTGGCTTTACAATGTTACCCACTGACGAAGTGGCAAAATCCAGAAAAATGATACTGCACGGAACAGCTTCCCAAAAGAGCTTCATGTAGGCTCCTGCACTAGCTGGGCATGCAAATGCTCCTCCTTTCTTTATTCAGTGGGTGTAAATGGCTTCACTGTTTCTAAAACAAATTTAAGGTGAGGAGTCCTATGCTGCTAATAGTGATTGCCACATCTTGGCGTCCTAAAGTGCAGAAAATTGCCCTGCATTTTTGTAACCTTTTCTCACAATCATTTTTAAAGACCACACAGCTCAGATGCTTTCAGGACACTGGATGTTACACGTAGGTATGTGTGATTCAAGCCTAAGAGGCAGAAAGAAGCACAGTTCCAGTCTGACTGCAGGATTTGCTGTTGCTCTCCCACCTTTTAAAGGGGTGATTTATATGCAGAGAGACCTGGCCAGAGTGGCATCAGCGTTGTTGACTTCATGCCACTCCCTGGAGATCCAGCAGCAGTTTTTACTGGAGGATGACGTGGCCACTTGAGGTCTCAACCTCAGTATGAGCAAGTTTTACTTTTAAATGAAGGTGCTGATTTTGGCAGACTCTCTTTCCATTGCCAAAAAGAAGCTGATTACTGGCTGCCATTATTCCTATCTGTGTGATGTACACCATGACAGGTAGCAGAAAATACTCATCTGCATGTTTTTTGACTCACACACTAGAGGACACCAGTCTGCAGATCCTGTGGTAAAGAACTCAGATGGATTATATAGTGAGACTATTTATCATCATTTCTGTAGTGTCCTTCCCATGGGTGTGGTCACTGGGTGTAGGATTGTTTTGTTTTGTTAATATCATTTATTCAGTTGAATCTGTTTTAACTAAAGAGGCAAATGCTGCTCCTTAATCCTCCTGCTAAACCTTTGCTGGTAGCTGCTAAGTGGCATTATTTATAGCCCAGGCAAGACTGAATGGCTTCTAATAGTGGTGGTGCCTATAAATCTTTATAATTATTGCCAGGACTACTGGTGCCACGTTGTGACATGTATACAAAAGTGCAGAGAATCTTTAATGGTTACTCATTAGCTTTCTTGTTTTTCCTCTTTACTGCCCAACTGCACAGCGATGAACACTTCAACCTTTGTACACAAAACCATGCAAAAATTTATCTAGATTAGCTTCAGCTCCTCCACATTAATGCTTTGGAGGGCTCTGACTGAGGCAAGCCAATGAATGCTGCTGGCATTTGAGGCTCCCAACTGAGGCTGCAGGGGTGGAGAGCTGGGAGCCACAGAAACAGAGCTCACCACAGCCCTGGGGCTTTCTAGGGGCCTTATAGCCAAGGCCTTTCCAGTGCTGCTTGATGTGATGGATTGATCTAGTGAAGGTGTACAGTTGGCATTTCCATGAAGGTACATGGCCAGCAGTTTGAACTAAAGGATGGCTGGTTTGAACTAACATTGAGGGTACTCGGTGCTTTACAGGAGAGGAGGATGCCTGTTGGTGATTTGAAATATCAGCACGATGAAGCCATCCAAATCCTCATGTCTGGCAGGTTTGTGTCACTGAACAGGCTCCCAGCTGCATAACAATGGTTAAGCCTCACTAGCCTGCTCTGTGGCAGCTACCTCAGCAGAAGCAGCTTACCAAATGGGCACGCTGAGAAGAAAAAAAGTTCCTTCTCTTGTTTCCTGGTAGTTTTTGTTCTTCATTTGTACTGCATTTGTATCAACAATGCATTCTCTCCAGAGACAGTCTGGAGCACGTGGCCAAGGGGTGTCTGTGTCTGTATAGTCACAGTGACATTTAGCGAAGTCCTGATAGTGGTAGTTATCAAACTAAGAAAGGGCTTGCTACCTATGGATTTTAATAGAAAGAACCAAATACTTTCAGGTACCAGAGATCCAAAGATAGAATTTCACCTGGGAATGGGTTTTGACCAGACTTTTGACTCTTGGATGAATTTCACACAGTAGCACATAAGGTGACAGTCAAGGGGTAGCAAAAATAGCTCTAGGTGAGGAGAGTCTTTTTGGTCCTAGAAAGCAGATTCCTAGCACAGAGCAACTTTGTTGTCTAGAACAAGGAGCACCAATGTAGCAGCAGGTGCACAATCCATGCAGAGGCTATGACTTGCTACAATAAGGAAATGGGTTTTTTGGCCAAACTCCCTGTTCCCCCTCCAGCCTGGTCATTGGCATCCCTCTGCACAGGCTGTTTGGCAATGGCCTGTGTATACACCTGGCTGCTAAAAATGTGGCCCTAGAACATTTTTGGCTTTGGGAGCTGGTCACCTGCTGTAGCAAAGGAACAGGAGGATTCCCTGGTGTCTACAGAAGTGTGAGAAGCCCTTGAGGAAGCCAGTAAGGATATATTGCTCTTGCATCCTCAGGATTAAGTGACTTAAGTAGATTTTTAGTGCTAATGACATTTTCTTCTGACTTTAATCTGCAGGAACTGTGGGGAGATTTTGTCTTCCTCTGCAGTAAGAAGGAATTTTCCTTTTTTGCAGCTTGTTGTAGTTTGTGGGCTTTGGTCTCCTGCATGACAAAGACTGGTAGGACTCCTCAGTATGGAGCTGTCTGAGAAGTGCAAGATAAAAGATGTGAAATCTTGTGTGAACAGTGACTGTGTATTATCTGTCATAATGTAAGAACAAAGGAACAACAACTATAGAAGCTGGAGGCAGTCTTTAAGCAAAGGAATAGTTTTTCACACAGTATCTATTTAGATGAAGAACTCACTGCCATGAGTTGCTGTCAATACCAGTAGGACAGGAAGAAAACCCTGTGGAGGGCTATTAAACACAGATTGCTCACAGAGTCCTGTGCTTTCAGCTGTACTCCCACCCAGGCAGCTGTCAGAGGCAGCTCACTGGTCATCTGAGCTGATGTCATCCCTCTGTGGTTCTTCTGCCTTAAATTAGGAGGTGGGGATAAAGGAGAGGATCTGTGACTTGTACAAAGACTACCTGGCCAGAGTAGGAGGTCTAGCAAATGAGCAAACCACCATGCAGGGAACACATCTTTTATTCAATAAGCAAGCAAGCACAGAAGTATAATGTATAGTGCTTAATATTCATACAGTACTAAAAATATAAAAATAGAAATAAAATTTCACTGAAAGCATTTTCACTCACAAATATACAAGGAAAAGTGCTGTCAAGCCACATCATGCTACACCACTTGCCAGTTGCAGAACTGACAGTTTCCCAACAGAACTGAAACACTCAAAATCTGCTAGTCCTTCCTCAAGGCTTTTGGTGAGCCTGAATATTTGACTAGCAAAAAATGGACCACCTGGAGCCAAGAACCTAAAAAGCATTGACATCATTTCTCAACAGAACAATAAAATAATTCTGTAGTTTTATGGTAATAGTAGCCTGCTTCAGGTGGTTTGTATACCTGTTGTAAAGAAAAAAAAAACAAAACTAAACCAAACAAACTAACAACACAACAACCAGAAATAAACTTGACTCCTGATTATAATCCAGACCAGTCATGGCTAACAAGTACTGAAACCATATTCTGCATAAATATTTGTGCAATACTCCCACCTGGTGGCATATGTTTAAACTCCCTTCCTTCAGCGCTGCTGTTTCCTCTGCCTGCTCAGCCTGGCATGTATGGACTTCTTCCACTCAGCTCTGGTGGAGCCCAGCAGAACACAAACAGTGCTAAGTGCCCTTCATTTTTACTGGAACTAGAGGATAAGCAGCACCTCACCTTCTCTTACTGTATCTAATGAGTGAAATTCACATCTACAGAGCAAAGTGATAGGGGCCAGAGACTGATTCCTCAAGAAAGACTCTGCAGCAGATGCCTTGTTTTTAAGCCCCACCTTGAGCAGGGGTTAGAATTAGAGTCAGGGGCTTAGGAAGCTTTTGTTTGCTGACCTTCAGCGTGGAGCTGAACTTCACCCCTCAGGAAACAGCCGTGGGCTGGCACCCCTGAAAGTACCAGAGGGTTTTGGGATGAGAGTGCCAATCACAGCTGGATTTCCTAACAAGGCCTGCCTTGCAGAGGATGCCAGTGCACAGAACCTACTCACATCATACAGATCAAGGGTGTGCAGAACCTAATGTGAACCCCACTTTGATCAGGAACTATTTTGGAATGGGATTTATTTATTCTTGATAAACCTGCTATAAAAATAAATGCGACGATTAACCCCTGAGATCATTCTAGCATACAGTTTTGGCCTGTTACTTGTTTCCCTCTGAAATATTTGTTTTTATTTGGTTTATGGACGTTTATTTAGGTTCTAGTGAAAAGCTTTTATAAAACACATTAAATAATCAATGTGGGGCCAAAAAGGTGTACATTCTAGTTGCATATATGATACATACCTTACATGTATATAATACATTCCATCACAGCTGAATATTCTAGTATTGTCTGGGAGGTTCTTGCATGGGGACAAAGGACTAAAATACTAGAAGATAAACAGCTGCTTAGGATCAAAGATAATTTTATCCCATATGGTTTACTTAGATTGTTTTTCTTTCTTTAAACCTTGTTACACATAATAGCTACAGTAGTTTGTCCAGCAGGTAATAAATGATGCATAAAGCACTTCTAGCTATATTTGGATATCATATGCATGCATTTTTTTTTTATAAATAAAAATCAAATGTGAGGTCGCATTTTCCCATCTTCTGTTTATAAACTAAATCAAATTTTTCATTCATGGAAACAGTGAAGATGTCTTTCCACAGCCCAACTCGTCCTGGAACACAGAGGAGAAACACAAATCAGAGCATGGGCAGAACAGGACACACCACATCTCTACAGCTGAATTGTACAGGGCACCAAATGTCATCTGTGAAAGGCTGATCAGTTTTCATTGAACACTTAATGAAACCTAAGGCTGTCCCTTATCTTATACAATTCCCCTGCTACAAGCCTTGCAAAGCCTGAAAATAAGCAGCATACACCTTGTCACCTGCACCAGACAAGTGCCACACAGCAAGAATTCTGATTTTTGTGAGATTTTGCTCTAGCCTTAATCAGAAATTAATAGAGATTTTGGTCCTGGTAGCCTTAATCAGAAATTAATAGAGATTTTGGTCCTGGTATTAATTTAAAAGTGGATTTGTGGTTTAAATGCAAAATATGGCTGTTTAGTAATTCCAACAGCTAACAATAATACAGTTAAAAAAACTGTGCCTTCAGCACACACTGGCTAGAGAACTATCCAAAGGGTAGCTGGAATGCAGAGTATTAAACTGATTAATTCCTATTATTGAAATGTAATATTATCATAACTAATAACTATTATTTTATGCTTTAAAACAAGTTCAACAAATTCATTTACATTTAGTAATAGGCAGAAAACTATTTGTTAAATGAGTGCCTAGATTATATCTATGGAAGTGAACAAGAGCCACGTGCCCAGTTTGCACCATTTAAATTTTAATTTTGTATAGAAGGAAGAGGAAGCTTTTGGTGGAAGCAATATAAACACTGAACACTTTTTCCCTGTATGGGAAAAACTACTAAACCCAACAACTAACACAACCTGATGGCACTGCTGAACACACACTGCTAACCCCACCAGTCAAAGGCTGTAGCCCCTTTAACCACAGCTTCACTGTAGTCCAAAATTTAACTCAAAGTCAGCCAGGTTTACTTATTGGTACTTAAGCCTCAGAGAGTAACCAGGCTGAGAGGCAACATTCTCTTCTCATGTATTGGATAGAAATAAAGACAAAATCCAGGCTTGTTCAACTGGAATAAATGAAAGGACAAGTGGGACAGTGCTACCAGAGTTTAACCATAACAGCAAGAACAAAACTACACGCAGGGAGCTAATTATGCACTGGTTGCATAAGAAGAATACCCATTTGATTTAATTGCCATTGCTTTTAGGCAGCAACTCTGCCACTGAGTCCAAAGACAAAGCTGTCTAAAACATCTACAAATTACACGTTAACATGATAGTTTAGTATGTGTGGCAAGGGCCATTTTATGAAATTGGGATTTTCCTCTAACTCCTAAAGGTATGACAGTGCTTTGGCTTATTTTCTCAAGATCAAAAGAACCCAAAACTGACTGAAAATGCATCATTTATTGTTTTCACCAAATTTGTCCTGTATAAAAAAAAAAATAAATTAAGAAAACACAATCACAAACATCTACTACTGATTTTGATTTTGCTCTGGCAACTGTAATTGCATAAAGTACAGCATGAAATATAAAAGCTTGTTTTTCCCTTTCAATAATGATAATAAAACATTTTCTTCCTCTGCTGGGGAGAGATAAGCCTTTTATTTCTGAATCTCCCTAACAACACACAGAGACAAATGACAAGTTTTTTAAAGGACATACACAGTGGATTATTTGTAACAGCTTTTTTTTTTACCATATGAATTGATAGCTTGTCAAAAAGTCACCCACCTGGTTTGATTTGAATCATGCAACTGTGTAAATTATGTTGTGATAAGAGTCAAATATAAGTAACATATCTAATCATTGTTCTGCTTTCACAGCAGCTCAGGGTTATCTTCAGAGTAAAGATCAATGTGCTAAAAGAAAAAAAATGAAGAACTAAAATAAAGCAAAATAATAAAGTAAATGTAACTAATGACAAATTAAATATTTGAAACAAATTACAATCAGCTGTCATGTTATTGCCACCATTCTTTGTCACAAAAACAAACAGAGAAAGAACAAAGCACTGCTAATGAAGCTGCATTCTGAAGTAACAAAATACTGTAAAAGCCAGAGACAGCAAACAAAAGAAATTCAAAATAAGGACATTTTTAATAAAAAGCACAGAGTGAACAAATTACAAAATATTACATTAACTGCTGTAGCTCCTTTCTCTATTACAAAAACAGAGGCTTCTCCTTGAAAGGTTTAGAGACAGTATAAATAAAGAAGAGGCTTGACTGGGGGATAGCAGACTTGAGTACAGGACCATGAACACTAACACAGCAAAAATGGGCATCACCCTGTTCATCTGCATGGAGATGACCTGGCCAGCAGAGACAGCCACTGACCTGGCTGTGGAAGGTCTGCTCTGGTCTCTTGCTTTGTCTTACAACCTCATCTTTCCTTCACAACTGTCTTCCTGGCTTTCACTGGACAAGGAGAGGGAATTTGGGCTGTGCACAGCATGTAGCAGTGCTGCTGCTCCACAGGTCTCCTGATTATGTGGGTTAGGAATAAACCTCAGTTTTTGTGTCACATACAAGTCAACAGAGGAGATCACAGCTCTCATTATCAGTAAAAATCTTGCATGGACATAGAACACTTTATGCAAGGCCCTCCCAATGTCTTACCAGATTCATTATTTTGTGATCTTTTCTTCATAGCAGAGAAGTAGGTTGGTAATCAGGCAACATGCTGTAAAATCCTACTGCAAATGAGATGGTCTGTTGTTTTTACATGAGATGATGTTGTATCACATGATGAATTTTCAGACTGAATTAGTAAGGGAAAAGTAGGATGGGAGTTGAAAGTAATGTAACTAAGAGCAGGGAAATACACCATCCAGTGGAGACTCTACCAGAAGCTATAGGGATTAGGTCTTCCAGTGAAACTACAAACTCCTTTGTCTTCACTGGCATTTTACCCCAAGCCAGCAAACTTGAGACATTTGTTTCAAGAACTCATCATTACCCTAAGTGAACTGGGGCAAGAAGAGATGCCATGTCACAGCTATGACAGAGAACTGCCCACAGGAATCTGGTTTCCAGGTCCTACTGTAAAAAATAAGTACCAAGAGAGCAAGTCTGTGTGCCTACAGAACATACCAAGAGCTTTTCCACACAAGTTGGGCAAAGTCACAGATAAAAGCAAGAATGTTTGTGCCAACATACCAAAAGGACACGTTACCCTGGGTTGGTTACTCTGACAAGAGTTGAGATGAGTAATGGAAAACTGACAGAAGGCTCTGCCAAAAAAGATGCAAAGGTAGTGTAGAATCCCAGAATTTAATGGGAAAGCAAACTTGCTCTCAAACAAATGTGACTGAATGTTGCTAAGATTAGTTTGACTTCTTAAAGGTGAATGCAAAGATACAACAGACTTTTCTAAAGCATGTGATTCTGGGGTTTTTTTAATAGAATTATGTCAACAAAATGCATGATAATTTAATGAACAGCTGACTAACTCATGATTAGTAGTCAAGAAGGACTGAGGCTATTCAGTATTTTTATCAGAGATTTGAAAATAATAATAAAAAATACAGCTGATAAAATCTGCAGGTAACAAGAGGATTGGCTGAAGGAGGTAGTATGCAAAGGGCTCCTACACAGAAACATAAGAATAAAGTATTTAGATCATGCTCCCTGGGTAAGGGACAAGAACCTGCAAATCAGCTCCTCTGAGAGGTCTTTGTGGTTGAGATAGATGACACATGCTTCATGTATGATGCTGCAGCAAAAAGTGCTAACATGGCTATGGATGGGCAAAAAAGGATGAGGGAGGGAGAAGGCTCCAGTTAGAAACTGGATTCAATCAGTGCGCAAAGTGATTTTATGACTGGATAAGGCATTTGTGAGGCCAACACAGAAACTCTTCATCCTGATCTTATGCCCTTGTTTTTAAAAATACCTGTTAAGGACTGTAAAGCAGCCTACAGAAAATAACTGAGACTACCATGATCACTCTTTTATGCTTATCAGAAGGAAGACTAGAAAGGACTTGGATTTCTTGACGTTATCAGGGGACAGATGTATCAGCAGGCATCTTTTTGTTTAAAGGGCACTTCAGGTTTCTAGACAAAGACCTCAACCGAATAAATGTCTAGAAATTCAACACATTTTAAACAGCTGAGGTAGACAATGAAAATAAAAAGCTCATAAGGAAAACTACAGCTCCTTGTTATTTGATACCTTTAAATGAGAATTATCTGCTACTCTAAAAAATCTGATGCACTTAAAGACAAGGGCTTAGGCCAGGATAAACTGTATGAAATTGTGTGGGCTTTGGCATGCCTAATGTCAGAAGGAGCAGTGCAATCTTAGCATGAACAGCTCAGTCTGTTGAAGTAAGCCAAAGACTAACAGAATAGTTTGCATGGTGTTGAATGTACACTGTTACACCATTGATCTGGAACATTTCCACCCTTTTTAGTCATTTCTATCTAACTATTTCAAAACAAACCCCCAAATTACACCTGCAGTCAGTTCCCTCCCATCATTTACACAGTAGTATTTTGCCAGCATCTTAACACATCCTGGAGGTTACTAAGTTTTCAGTTGCTTCTTGCAGTTTCCACAATAGGAGTTCTACTGTGGGTTTTAAACATACCCCTGCCAACAGGAAGTGCTTCTGCATTACAGCACTGATCAATGAGTTGATGGCAGTGTTCCACCATGGATTCCAACTGTGCTTTGTCGTAAGAAACTCCCAAAAACCTCACCAGCTGCTCAACCATTGTTGCTAGGTCCTGGAAGAGAGTATTTTAAAAAGTTTATTTTAAATGCCCTTTTAAAATCAGTTTAAATTTTTCAAACAGTTATATCCTGATGAGCATGAAATACAAAAGCAGAAGCAGAAACATCACTGTCTTAACATTTAGCCACCTTCCACTTTGCTGAAAATAAACACATTCCAAGCAACTAGGGTAAGAGAGGTCATCAGAGAACATAATCATGTAAGTGCAAAGCATGATGCTTCCCACTCCAGACAACATCACACCTTTCACTGATCACTTTGAAATACCAGTGTATTTTGAAAGAACTCAAAAGTTATTTTGATTTTGATCTTGATAGAATAAATGACCACAAATGTTACAACAGCCCTTCCTTCATTGTTAGCATCTGGGGCTGCATTCATGTAGATGGAAAGGATCTAGTGAGGTGGCCTCTGAGCAAAAGCTGTCATTAAATTATATATCCAGTACTCCAGGGTTCCTCAGTGTGAGTATAGACTTCTGGAGTTGCTACAACAAAACAGCAAACATTTATCAGGAAGCAGAAGATACTGTGACACCACCAGCTCTCAGCAGCTACCACCAGTGAGAACAGCTAGGAATATATCAGTATTCAAAACCACAGGTCTGAAATAACTTCTACTAAACTTTAATTATTCTGATTATATTACAATGCCTTTTAGCATCCCACTCCACCAGAAGGCTCAGTAAAGATGAAATCATTTATCCCAGCTTTATTGAGTTCCACCCTGATTCTGCCTTTTTGTAGGTTGAGATAGGAGCTGGGTTTTTCCTATGTTTGCATTAATTTTCTAGTCAAATGAACATTTTGAGTATTTTGGTTAATTCTCAAAAACATATTATTGTAACAGGCAATGGAATCCAGTGTTCTATGTAGTATTTCCACTAAATTTCTGATTAAGAATAAAGTGGATTGATTAGCCAGGATACTGTAAGGACCCAATAATTATGTATACTTTGTGCTACATGATCAGCCCTAATTGTTTTCAACTGTTTCACAGAAGACAGCAAGAACAACCAAATAATTACAATAAATGCCAAATGTATAGGACAAAATACTGATAATACACTTCCCCCTCATAGACAGAGCACACACAGCAAGACATTTCTTTTAAATGAATGCCCAGAGCTAAGTGCAGCAAGCACTGAACAGTTCTGCATCTCTGCCTTCTCTGCAAGTAGTTTAGTTCCTATGGATGCAGGCAGACTCCCCAGTCTTAAATTGTGAAAGTCCACAGGAGGTACTGAATGCCAGTGCTTTAAAAATAGGATCAGACATTAGGGAGCCCAAATACAGCCATAAGAAGCACATTTTGTACTTTATGTATTTCAAGCACTACGATGCTAAATGTAATTAAAATACCTTTTTGCTACATCTAACCTACCTTATGCATATCTTCATACTTGAGAAAAAGGACATTGGCATCCATGTGATGTTCCCAAAACTCTTGCACATGTTCAAACCACGAGCCATATCCTACTACAAAGACATTATGATTGGCATGAGGAGGATGAACACTTTTGTTAAGTCCTCTCCAAAAAAGGAAAACCAAACAAACAACCAAACAAAACACAAACAAAATGAGAAAAATAAAGTGGAGTGATTCATAGCCCCAAGAGAACAGTGTCTGGTTTTGACCCATTGCCCTGGACAGCAAGGAACTTAATAAAGAAGTCTTGGAATATTCAAAATAACTATCTTAAGATAAGGATAAAATGTTCAACCGAAAATGCCACCATATATCATGGCAGACCTCTTGGAGCCCAAATTAATAACACCAGACTATTGAACAAAAATTGAGCCAAAATACAAATTACACAGATAGCTCTGCAGAAGGCAAACTTCCAGTGGCTCTAACCTGTGTGAATTCCTGTAATTAACATATCACACTGCAGCTTCCTTTACTTGGAAGATAGATACAGCTACTTGTGGAAAGTTCCACACAGCATCTTCTATTACAGACAGAGAATTGCTAACAATCATTGTCTTTTCCTAAATAAAAAAAGTATTGAGGAAACAGACCTATAAAAATTATTCATGGTCACTCCCAAGAAAAGTAGGATGTACTGACAGAATATTCTACTTATCATCACATCTTTTGCCTCCCCACTAAAATCTAAGACTTATTCACATCTACTGTTATTTTCTGAACACTTCCACACAAGTTCAGAACACAGCTTCAGTTATCTCATTATCTGTTATCTCAATTAAGACAATAAATCCAGATTCCAGCCAGATGCCCATGAGGTGCTGAGTGTTCCCAAAAGCTTTGTGATGAGATGTGGTGTGATGTGCTGGGGTACTTCAAACATATCACAGGGCTGCCAAGGATGGAAAGCTTGTACCCCCAACCTCCTGCATGCTGCCAGCAGCTTCCTTTCAGCTCCCTGTATCTGATGGGTGGGGTTCAGGACTTGAGGAGAAGCTGAGGTGCTATGCTGGGAAGGCTTGTGCTAAGGCAGTGGTTACTGGGAGCCTTAGCCCTCCCTGCAAAACTTCCCACTGATGAAGTCCACATTTGTACTGATTTCAGTCAATTTACATGTGTCTAGCAGAGGTTCAGGCACTGCTATTTACTACCAGCTGCCAGTATTACCAGGACAACCCAAAGAGAAATGCATTCTGCATATTTGTTACTGCTGATAAATTACCTCAAAGTACTTTAGATAATCAATGCAGGAGTTAAACCACTATAGCAAGCAGTTAAATAACCTCCACTGGTAGGCTGAGGAGATCCTGCTCCCAGAGCAGAGCACAAAGCATCTGCAAGTGCTTTCTTGGAGGGGCTCACTTCAGCTTACTGATGTACTCCAGAACAAGCTCATGCAAGCTAGATTTCTGTGTGTTAACTGGTATCTTACATGGGACAAACCTTGAGTTTCTGGATGAAACAAAAATATTAAAGGAATTACCAGGAAAAAAAAAACACCAACAACCTTAAGGGGCAGAAAGCCCTCTGACCCATGAGAAGCAGCTAACAACTGAAATCAGATTATGCTAGGAGTATTCACCACTTTTTACCAGGTACCTGGTACCTTGCAAACTGAATTTTAGGAGAGTAGACCAGAGTTTTGCCTGAGCTAAGTGGAACATTGCTGAGCCCACGGGGTCAAACATTGTAAGGCAACATTTACAAGGCATGGCCATAGTTTGTGTGGACAAATGTCAGTCCACGTAGCACTGTCTGTAGCAACCTCCTTGCTGTATATGCAAAACAAATGCACCTTTATCCAGTTCATTTCTGTACTTGCAGAAGGAGTGCACAGATGAAAATACATGTGTAACAGCGTGTGCAGAGAGAACAGCTCCTTACACTTGTCATTCATAAACCTTCTGCAGAACTCCTGGAACGTTCCTCTGTAGCTCATGGTCCTTAGAGAGCGGTGGAACTGGTAATAAGACACCACCAGGTCTTTGGGGTTTCGAGCCATGTATATGACCTAGGGGGAAGAGGGGGTGAAAAAAAGAATCATCATATTGAAAGCTTTTTCCCAACCCCCTCTCCCTTAAGATATTTCATTTCCTTTTTACCTTTGAATTACCATTATGGAGGTCTGAAGGCAAAAAACGATACGGTAGGTGGCTTTTTATGAGGCGAGGAGATGTCAGTTCCTAAAATAAAGCAGACAAACATTTCTTATTCTGCATTAGTTTTTGGCACCTGATGAGCTGTCCTGAACTGTCACACTTGGAAGGCCTTTACTATGCTGAGTCACACTCACAAATACATTTCTTAAATTAACAGGGGTCTGGGACTATAAATTAGGTCAGGGAGTGACATCTGTTTCTTAAATATCAAAAGGCTGGAAAATGAGTTGGGGATTTTGTTGGGTCCCCTGCCCCCCACACAACTTTTTGTTTTCAAAGTACTTCTATTTGTAGAACCTTCTCAGGAAAATAGTATAATAGTTGAAGACTTTTAGTAACCAAGTAACTTTGTTTCCAGCGGTGCTTCCACTAAAATTCCTTGGAAAATAATAGAAGCTCTGAAACCCCTATCCCTAACTTCTCCACATCAAAACTTTACTCTTGCAATTTGTTTTATCCTCAGAATTAGGTCGAGACAATCCAAAGGTTGCTCTGAGTGTGTGAACAGCTTTCACAGTATCTTTCTATAATTTGAGACAAAACTGTCTTATGACACAAATCATCTTTCAGTAGTTAAAAACTGCATAAATCCATACTGGATTAAGTTACTAGCACATAGTAGAGGTAACACAGTGTAATCTTAAACTAAACCTCTCACTATTGTCACCATTTATTTGCATCAAGGTAGCACTGAGGTTATCACTGGACTAAGCATCACACAGATAAAAAAAAAAGCAACCTCTGAATACCTAAATACTCTCAGCCTGAAGTGTGCTCATGTTTGTCCTGGTTTGGAGTAGAACAGGGCTGGCTCTGTTCAGTGATTTGAACTTTTCAGCTAAAGCTCTAACTAACTGCCTTGTCTGAAGCTAGCAGCAAACTGCCTGCTTCTAGCAGTGATAACACTCCATGTTTAGAGTCACTGACTGGTGTGCAGACCACAGCCACTGCTGAGCTGCTGCATCACATGGAGGGGGGCAGAAAGTAAAGCCCCACCTGCGGGGCGGGGC